ATCAAAATTAATTTTTTATAAAAATCATAAAAATATTTAATAAGACATAAGAAAATAGTAAATTTATTTATATTTAATTAAATTTGATTATAATTATTATATTATTATTTCTGTCTCTTTGTTATCACAATAAAAATACACTCATTCATCATTTGCATCTAGAAGTAAACAAATTAAAAAACAACAAAAGTACATACTAATGATTAGATGAAAATTGAAATATTAAGAATTAAAGGTAAATTACATATTTAATCACCCAATTATCATTTTAATTTTATTTTAATCATAAAATTATTTTTTTAAAATTAACCAAAAAGTTATATTTTAATTTCATTTTTCTTTTTAAATTACACCTAAATAGGGGTGGAGCTTAGTGAGGGCTCAAAGGGGCTCCGACCATTGTTAAAATTTATATATTTGATATAATTTTGATCTAATAGTATTTTAATTAATGTAATAATAAATATTTAAATTAAAAAATATATAAATTTATTAAATATTTAATCAAGTAAGGACCGAACTAAAGAATGATAACATCGTGTTCTCAAAATTTTTGGTCTAATAACAATTTATGGCACTGTAAGTTTAAATATGAGACAAATTAGGTGTTATCTTGTGAATTTTGAGGGTTTTTTTTATATAAATGTAGGGTGAATACAAGGTAATATATGTACAAAGATTCTCAACTATTTGACAATGAACGCTCATACCCCTACATGAGCAGTGCTCGAGCTCGAGACCTCAATGATAACAACAATCTCTTAATCACTAAAGTCGCTTGATTCATGCTGAATTTTGAGTTTAAATACCTAATAAGTCTATATATTTTTCTGAAATAGTTCAATATTTTGGCCCCTGTCAATATTTAGTTCTGGCTCCGTCCCTACACCTACAGTTATATTCTAATTTCGGTTTGGTTACCTATTTTTAAAAAATTAATAGTGATATTATTGTGTCAACATAAGATAATACTACATCATCATTAAAAAAACATCTCAATAGTTATATTTATTTTTAACAATAAATGATCAAATGTGTCACTAAATTTGATTTTAAAAAAAATAAAATAATTAGATGACCAAATCAAAATCAAAATGATAATTGACAAAATAAATATATAGTTTACCTTAAAAGTAACCATAACAAAAATAAACTTACAAAATTTGGGTAAAACTTTCAACAACAAACATATTGGATAATTCGTTACACCCTTCAATTAGAATTTCGTACTTCAAAAGTTAAACATAAAGATCTAAAGTATTGAATTATTTTACATATCAAGGCAAATTAATTATAAAAATTCTGGCAATTAGAAAACTGAACTCCATTAATTCACAATGATCCCAAAGGTGAATCTTTTTTTGATAAGGAAAGCCAAATCTTTAAAACTCATTAGAAAGGCGGCTGCGGTCTAGCGGTTGGAGCCCAAATCACATCGATCCACCGCCATAATGATAACTATACATCGAAACCCCACAAGATTCCGAATCACCACCGTGACCGATACTATCTTCATCGACACTAGAAAACTGCGGCGACTGACCTTCACCATCTCCGCCAGACGACACCGTATTCCTTATTTCTTCTTCCCCTCCTCCTCCTCCTGGTAACTGATGATACGAATGATTGTTGAACGTGGCGGCAACTATATAAACAGTGTCAGCCGCCATCAACGAGCCAAGCGCGAACCCCACGACGACCTGCCATTGAGGACCCGCTAAAGAGATAGAGAACGTGTTGGGGACGTTATACGATGTCGTTGGAGGTAGGACCGTGGCTGATAGGAATAAGATGTTGAATCTGCCACGGAAAGTTAGGATAGCTTCGACGAGGTTCTGATTTTTTTTCGATGAGAGAAGGCGGAGATAACTTCGACTAGATCATTCCCGCCGGGGATTTCGAGAACATTAGGACTCATGGTGGGGTTGGGTTGACGAGATAGGAGGAGAGATTGCTTGGGCTTGTTTTTGGAACCCGGAGGACAACCCTTGGTCTATGAACCACTTCAATGGAAGATCCATCGGCGGCCCTAGTAACGCCTCTGCCGCCTTGGTAGCGCCAGTGGGAGGAGGGTGTTTGAAGTCATCGTGAGAGAGGTGAAAGGGATGAGAGTAGGGTTGGCGAATTTTAGAGAACATGTTTTGGGAATCCCCATATTCACATTCCATAGTGTGGGGATTAGATTTCTATCTCCATTTTTTTTTAGTTTTTTTAATTTTTATCTATTTGTTTGGTTGAGGAGATTTTGGATGTGAGATTATGTATAATAAAAAAAGGGAAGAAATATGACAGGAAAAGAACAAGGTGAATAGAATTGAAAATGGAGGTGGTGGAGATTAGGGTTGTAAAATCGGGTAATCGTTTAGGTTTCAGTCGGATTCTGACAGGTCGTGTAAAATCGGATACAGGTCAAGTCAGGTAAATTTGACACTAGATCCAGATCGGGTTCAGGTCAGGTCAAATCAGTTCGGGTTATTTTCAGGTTGATTTGACACCAGATCCAGATCGGGTTCAGGTCAGGTCATTTTCAGTTCGGATCGTTGCCAGTTCAGGTTAAAACAGTTTAGATCCGAAGTAGTTAAAAAGCAGGTTAATTCAGGTTCGGATAGACTTCAGGTGGATCTCGTTCAGATCGGGTCACATCATTGGCAGATAAAATTCAGGTCGGGTCTCTATCAGATACGGATTGAGTTCAAATCGAGTTAATTTTTATTTTTGGATTAATTATTTTCGTCTTTCGCGAACGTTGAATTGCAATTTGTAATTGTATATGATTTGGAGTAAATTACTAAGAATATAAATAATCATGGTTCAATTTTATGAAAAATAAAAATTTAAGAATTAAATTGAACAAATATGAAATTACAAATAAAAATTTAAATAAATTAAACAACACACATTGATGAGGGATCAAATCGAAATAATTTTAAATTGTGAGGTTGAAATTAATACAAAAAAGTACTAAATTATACCCATTTAAAAAGTTATGGGCCAATTAAAAATAGAATTAAGTAATAAGTATGGATCAATTTCATATGCAAATAAAATTTGGAGGACTAAATTGAACAAATATGAAATTACAAATAGAAATTTAAATAAATCATACAACACACATTGATGAGGGATCAAATCGAAATAATTTTAAATTGTGATGTTGAAATTAATACAAAAAAGTACTAAATTATACTCATTTAAAAAGTTATGGGCCAATTTAAAAATAGAAATAAGTAATAAGTATGGGTCAATTTCAGATGCAAATAAAATTTGGAGGACTAAATTGAATAATATGAAATTACAAATAAAAATTTAAATATATTAAACAATACACATTGATGAGGGATCAAATTGAAATAATTTTAAATTGTGATGTTGAAATTAATACAAAAAAGTACTAAATTATACCCATTTAAAAAGTTATGGGCCAATTTAAAAATAGAAATAAGTAATAAGTATGGGTCAATTTCAGGTGCAAAAAAAATTTGGAGGACTAAATTGAACAAATATGAAATTACAAATAAAAATTTAAATATATTAAACAACACAAAAGGGATCAAATCGAAATAATTTTAAATTTTGAGGTTGAAATTAATACAAAAATGTACTAAATTATACTCATTTAAAAAGTTATGGGCCAATTAATAAATAAAAAAAGTAATAAGAGAAAAAAATTAAACAACTAATATATATATATAATATAAACTATATAGTTTTATATATAAAGTATATGTATTATATATATAAACTATATAGTTTATATATATTATGTATAAAGTATAAACTATATATACCATGTATAAACTATAATACTATATAGTTTATATATGAACTATTGAACTATATAGAAACTACATAGTTTATATATAAATTATATATGAATTATATATAAACTATACAATTTATTTTATATATTTATATTATAAATATATATTGTATAAATTATATAGTTTATTAATATAAATTATATAGTTTATATATATATATAGTATATATGGTTTAGGGTTTATATTTATATTTATATAAACTACATATTATAATTTATATTTATATACTATATTTTATACTATTTATATAAACTGTAGTTTATTTATATACTATATATATGAACTATAGTTTACATATGAACTATATATATAAATATATATATATTAAGGTTGATATTTATATATGAACTACAGTTTATATACTAAGGTTGATATTTACATATGAACTATATATATCAACTATATAGTTTACATATGAACTATATATATAGTTTATTAGTGAACTATATACACTATTTATATAGTATATAGTATATATATAAACTATAGTTTATATTTATATACTATATATTATATATATAAACTATATATACTATATAGTATAATTTACATATGAACTATATATAAAAATACTAAACCTTAAACCCTAAACTATACATTATATAGTTTATTAATATATATAACTATATGATATATAGACTATATGGTATATATAAACTATACATTATATATAGTTCATTAGTATATATAAACTATATACTATATAGATCATTAGTATGTATAAACTATATAGTATATATAAACTATATATTATATAGTTCATTAGTATATATATGGTATATACAAACTATATATTATATAGTTCATTAGTATATATAAACTATATATTAATTTATTAATATAAACATATATATTAATTGAAAGAATTGAAAATATATATAATGATCAAATTGAACAGATTTTAAATATGAAGCTTAAATTAATAAATTGTAACATTAAATTTGGATTAAATTGAAAAAAGTTGAAATATGAAGCTTAAATTAATATATTAATTCATTAAATGTGGACTAAATTGAATAAATTTAAAATTAAAAGACAACACTACAATATTAAATTAAATTAAAACACACACGGATTTTCTAACTCGCTTAAACCACAAGGCTACGCCAACTGTGGTGCCAAAAGCAGCATCATTTCCCGCCAACTCCGCCCTTCTTTTTTCATATGTAATTTTAGGGTGTCGGATACCTAATTTTGTTTTCACAAAACTATTTTTCTTGTTACAGAACTGTGATTGGAATAAAAAGCAAAGATGGGATCGTTATGGTAATGCTTTTATTTTCCCTTTTTCCTTAATTGCTTATTGTGAACCAAAAAAGAAGAAAAAAAGCAGCAGCAAATATATGCGTGTAGACTAAAATGGGTGCTATTATTTTAGGGAGTTGAAAAACTGATAGCTTCAAAGATGATGTTACCCGATTCTAATCGAAGAATCCACTCCGTTCATCGCCATTCCGGCATGGTATTCGCTATTCCTCCCCCTTTTTCATCAGCTTTAACTTTGTTTCGGATGGAATATTTACCCCATTTTCAATGATAATGTTTTGGGTTCTGACTTTCTCTTTCACTGGTATTCTATATTCTAATTCAGGCTGTGGCTTGATTAGCGGCTGACGGTAGGCAAATTGTGGCCCGTGCTAAATCTGAAGCTACTAATTACCAAAGGTTTTTCCTTTTGTTTTCCATTTGAAATAAATTTCCACAGTTCAGCTTTAGCTATACCTGTTATGTTTTTACTTTTTATCTAATTATGGGTTTCGTTTGTTGGTGCTTGTGAAGCGTATACGGTGAGCCCATTCCTGTCAAAGAACTTGTTGAACGTGTTGCGAGTTATGTGCATTTATGCACGCTATACTGGTGGCTTATGCCCTTTGGCTGTGGGATAATTCTCGGCGGTTATGATAGAGATGGTCCCCAATTATATATGATTGAACCGTCTGACATCTCCTATGTCAGTTCATTTCTCTCGATTATAGTTTCATCTGTTTCCTTGTTTGTTGATAGTACATTAGAATTATTTCTATTTGTTGCTGGTTAATTATTTATGTCTCCTTGTTTGTTGTATTTCTTGTGTCCATTAAAGTGGAGTTTGGGAGTTGGGAGTTGGGAGTTGTAAGTTGTAACTACCCCAACGCCATAGCAAGAACTTGGGCTTTCAGTGATGGTGGAGACAGACCTCTTCAGTACTCACCTGGCTCCTACAACGAGCTGATGTTCCAGGTTCAAATTAAAACATTTTCAGGTTAAACAATCTGGTCCTTGATCTGTTTCTGATTTCTTTATGCTTTTTTGTTTCCTTGAAGGGATTGGATTTTGTAGTATCTGAAGCTAAGAGGTATGGGATCAAGCTAGTTTTAAGCTTTGCGAATAACTCAAGGGCAATCCATCGGTCCTTTTAAGCTAGTATTATTTTTTTCAATGACATTGAGGAGGTTTGTTTAATAATATTTTATATTTATTATGTTTATTTAATAAAACTTTCAAATTGTTTATTAATAAGTCTTTTCTTTTGTAGGGTGTCTTACTACTTTACAAGATGCAATACTTGGTGTTTGACTCTACTTTATTATGTTTTATATTATTTGCTTCTGTTTGATATTGATTGTTTCTACTTGATATTTGTAAGGGTTTGGTAAAGTCGGAAATATTTGGTACTGTTGGCCATTGAATTCCCTTTGGTTTTACCACTGATTGTATGCTTAATGCAGGATGCTTGTTGAATCGAGGCAACATTGCTTGCTGAATTGGTACATTGATGCTTGTCGGTTGTTGTTGTCTATTACTCACTGATGCCTTGTAAATTATTTTTGTTGATCTAACTTAAATTAATTTTAGATTCATATAAATTCTTATCTAAATAGTTACTCATGTTTAATTATGTTGGTGTCATTTTGGCTTTTAAAGCTAGAAAGTTACCCATAATTAAACATGTTGGCATCATTTAGGTATATACTCGATGATGATATTTCTGGTAGTATAGTTAGGATTTTTAGCTTTGTAAACATTAGCTACAAGATCTGAGAGCATTTATTTCAACATATATTTATTTTGTTTAGTTGATTTTATTGTAATTTTAGTTTTTTCAAGTGTAATAAAATTACCTTCATTTATAAATATTTATTTAGTATTTGTAATGTTATTCAATTTTTTAATATTTAATAAGTCTTTCAATTAATATATTTTGATTTTAAAATATCAAGTTAAGTTTACTTAAATTATTATTCAATTTTCACATTAAATGTAAATTAGATTTATGAATATTTTAACTTAGTTAATATAATTTAATAAAATCAAGTTTAATAAGATAATATTTAAATTTAATTTAATGATTTTAAATAAAATTTATAATATAAGAAATATAAAGAAATTTATGAATTGGAATTAACATAAAAATCAAATTTATAATATACAAATTATAATTAATATAAAATTAAATTTGAAGAAAGTAATCATATTAATTTGATTATCATAATAATTTATGATAAAATTTCAAAAAGTAATCATATTAATTTAATTATCATAAGTTTATTATAAATTTAAAATAATATAATTATATTAATTGTAACTTCACTTATAAGTCAGGATAATATCAGATCACTTTAACAACATGTCGAATCATTTACAGGTTGAGTTAATTACAGATCAGGTTAATAACATGTCAGGTTGAAAACAGGTCGGGTAATACCAGTTATTTGCCAGGTCAATCTCGGGTTCGAGTTCATATCAGTCGGATATAGTTCAGGTTCGGGTATCATATTTTCGGTTCAATTCGGGTTCAGGTCGTTCTCAGATCGGATGCATGTCGGGTTCAGATCCACAATTTCTAGGTCCAACTCGGGTTCAGGTCAACACCAGTTCCGACTCAAGTCGGTTTTGGATCGTCACAACCCAGGTCAAAAATAATTTTAACTCGAGTTGGTTTCAGTCAGTTTTACAGGTCGGGTCAGTTTTTTACACCCTTAGTGGAGATAGAGGTGTGGAATTTGGATATGTTTAAAAGGAAAAATAACATGGAAAAGTTTAGGATACCATAACTTAATTTAAGATTAAATAATGGTAGGAAATATGCTTACACTTATTCCCATATTTAATGGGGTAAGGGGAGTTAGGATAGTAGGCTGCTCCCAACACCAGGTTGAGAACAACTTCCGTAGGAGGCTTCCGAATTATAAAATACCCTGCGTGAGACTCGTTCCCACGACTCCAAGATTAAGAACCTTGAAAATGGTAGGAAATAAATGTAATTTAAAATATTATATTTTTTAATATTTTTGATTGAATAAAAATATTATATTTTTTATAACATTTTCGGTCGATAAAAGAAATGTATATCCTTTGTAATATTTCCGATTTAATAAAAATATTAAAAAGTTAGTATTTTAGGTTGTGTTAATATTGTTATTTTTATGATATTATTGAATTCTTTTAACCATTTTTATTCTTAAATTAAATTATTGTACAATATAATTATCCACATAATGGAGATTGGGGTTTGAGAGGAGTTTGAAGGAAAAGGCATCGAAAGAGAATGACAGGTTTGAAACGAAGTAAAAAACTACGGGCACCGTTGCAGGGTAGGACCAACGTAGCCTACTATTTTACTAGTTACTAGTAAATCGATCTTTTTTATTTCGATATTAGTATGTACATGAGGGTGATTTTATAACCTAATATAAGATTGAAAAATAATAATTTTAAAGTGCAATTGAAAATATAATAAAACTTATAATATTTTAGGTCGAACACAATCTAAAATATTATAATTTTTTAATATTTTCGATTGAATCTAAAATGTTATGTAGAAGGTAATATTTTCGGTTGTCAACAAAAAATATTATGAAGAATGTAACATTTTTTATTGAACCAAAGATGTTAAAAAATATAATATTTTAAGTTACACTTAACCTAAAATGTTATGATTTTATCACATCTTTGATTACGTCCTAAAGTCGTTGTTTTTAACCTTATATTATGTTGTGGTTCCTTAAACTTCTCTATATACTTTACATATTGGGTGATAAATAAATGTTATTCTTTTTGGAGAAAATATATTCAAACATATATAATTATAAAATGAGTTTGATGTTAATAAATTAAAAAGTTAAATATATATTATTTTATAATCTCAAATTGTTAAAAATATATTGTATAATTTTGGTAAAAGAATGAAATTTTCACTTGATTCTTTATTTGATAATGTTAGACAAATGATTAGTTAACTGTTAAATATTTGTTATAGTTTGTTGAAGACGTTAACTAGTTAGGTTGGATGCAAAAGCCCAATGATTTAATGGGTTCAATATCCATGTATTATAATTTACCTCAATTCAAAGTACACGTGTAACGCCCTGAATCCCAGGTTAGGAGTTTTGGGCTAACCCGAGATGGGCTTTGGACAAGTTCTTTGGCTTGTAGGAAGCCTTAACCCCAAAACAAGTGAAATTAGGCTTGGATTGAGCCCAATAGTGGAAAAAGGGGGCAATTTTAGTTTACAACTAAACTTAGGAGGACCAAGAGTGTAATTAGATCATGTTTCAAAGTTAAAACTGAAATCCTTTAATTGAAGATGATATCACTTATGAAAACCAAATCTTCTCTTTTTCTTCACCTTTGTCTTCTTCTTCATCTTCTTCTTGAGCAAGCTAAGTTAAAGGAGGGAACTTTAGTTTGTTTACATCATTTCATAGCAAGCCAAGGTAAGAATCAAATTATACTCACCCCAAGCATCATTCCAAACCCACATTTGTAATGTTTTGACATGGTTTCTAGAAACGTGTTTTATGGGGGTTTAAGTGATTAAGAGAATTCAGCTAGTAATTTGTTTTCTTAAAACCTCTTAAACCATTAAACTCAGCTAGCAACTAAAGTGTTTGATTTTGGCCAGTGAGAAAAGTTGGAGAAAGCTCCAAATTAAGGAAAAAGAGAAGCTCACATTGGGTTGATTTTGGGACACTCGTAGAAACTTAGAATCACCAGGTAACTCATTTCTAACTCAGTTCTACCACATGTATTTCGTTAAGTGAGATTTGGTAAGTTGCATAAGCTTTGAAGTATGTTCATGGTGGATTGTATTTTTTGATGTTTTAGTATGTTATAAGACCTCTTTATGACCCCTTAAATTATCAATAAGACCCTAATAACAACTAGGACCCTTACTAGGGCGTTTTGGGATGAAAGTTATCATTTTTTGTGGCTAAACATGGTATTTTTTTGTAGAGGTATTGGTACTGTTCTTACAGTACCGATACTGTTATTTAGCTAAGGTTAAAATAGTTCAAATTTTAGAAGGAAATATTGATACCCATGTGAGGGGTATCGATACTGCAAGGTCGATTCGACACTCAAAGGGTAGTTATATATTGAGAACACAAATCAGATTCTAGAATGCATTTTTGGTATCAGTACTCAAGGGAATATCGATACCCACGATAGATTATCGACATTCCCGGTAAGGGTATCGATACCCGAGATATTTTTGAAAACATTGAACCTAATTTTGGTATCGATACTCATATTATTATCGATACCCCCAGTCCTAAAGTATCGATATTCAACTAGGAGTATCGATACTGCCTCTCCAAATCAGCCTAAATCAATCAGTAGGTATCAATACCAAAAGTTTAGTATGGATACTGAAGAGTCAATATCGGTACCCATAGACAATTTTGGATAAGTAATCCAATGGCTAAGGGATTAGACTCGAGGGGCCTAATTACACCAGAATAACAACAGATAAAACTACAAATAATAACAATAATTAATATCATAATAGTAAAAACAATAACAACTAGATTTATATAAAAGTAGCCTTGTTTGACGCTTGAGAAACAGTAAGGACACCTGAGTTCCCCTTAGTAGAATATGATAATTAATGGATATCTGAGTTAAGCACTTCAACAGCTGACTGGGTGCAGATGCCCCAAGACTCGATGGAGTAAGTTGGAGGGGTGTACGTTTTCGATGCAGCTCTGGATCTCATCCCAAATGTATCCAAGTTTCGTTGTATTCTCCGAT